GGTTTCCAAAAATAGGGGACCCATATATAGTACCCGAAATAATAGGTTCCTTATTATAAGGACCCCAAAATAAGGTACACCTAATTTTCGGAATGTCCCATATTGCATCACGCTAAAACTGACTTGAACGCAGTGGTGAGGCTAGAATTGAAAGACTTCTATGGTTGGAGGAGTTCATGACAGGTTGCAGGAATGCGTGCTACATTGGCCATGTCATCATACATATGTACTTGGATACAACATGTTCTTCTACATTATGCGATCTGTTGCTGAAGCTCAGCAGTGCCATGCTCACACTGCTTCCTGGCCTTCGGCACACGGCTACGAAGTCAGCCGGCAGAACCACCTTGTCATACACAGTCTGAAAAGTTACATCTTCAGGTGTTTGTTGCTGACTGCCTACTGGTCTTGATGCCTTTCCAACCTATACATGCTTGCTGTCGGCATCCCTGTCGGCACTGTCCCTTCCAGCAGGGATCTACGGGAGCTGAAGTTCATCGAAGGCCTTCCCCAACTGGGCTACGACGTTGTCTGCGCCGAAGCAGAGTTGCCTCTCCGGTGCAACGCACACTGAGACAAGCTGACTACCCTCGGAGAGACTCGAATAAGTGGTGAACATATTAGTCAGACCAAGTCCCCGCGACATGGTGCGATGCAGGCCGATGACTTCAGCTCGACTGGCAAATCTGCACATGCCACGGAACTTCAATTTCAGTTTCCCGCATATCCCCAGCTGCTATACCGGTGTCTGCCTCAAGGGGCCGTGGGTCGCCGCCCAGCGCTTGAAACGCGTGGCCAGGATTGCGGTCTTCCGGGCGGAGGCTTTGAGACAGTGCAACTCGAAGCTAAGAGGGTCGGGTCTCGCTTCGCCCTTTTCCCCTAAACCAATGAACCCTTAATTGAAAATGCTCAAAGAGGCCCTGAGGCACCCTCCCTGGACCCGGGGTCCGGCCTGACGGTCCAGGTCCATAACGGTCAGCATCCCAGTACCTCGAGCCACCAAACTGACCCCAAAAGGACAAAGGGCCAGGCTGTCTTTTGGGCCCACACTCGTAGCCTGTTCTGTGAAGCTGTGGAGGTCATCCTGCAAAGCCGCTCGCAAACGAATCGCTGTCTCTTTCCCTGTTACGTTGCAAGGAACACGAGGGGCGAGCGAGGCAAAGCTTTCAGGGTGAAGGACCAGCAACACCGGAGGGCCTACCTCATGTGATCGTATAGTAGTATATTTAGTGGTGGTCGGCTTCGACTGAACATGCTCCCAAACCCGTCCTCTGAGCTCTGCATGCCAAAGGACAATGCCACCCGAACAACGTCCTCGAGCTGCGAGCTTTGAAGGCGACCGGATTCTAGAAATCAGGTTGGAGTGGGGTTTCGAGTGGCGCAAGCTCTCCCTATGTAGTCTGGAGACTGGGGCTACTGTGGTCAAACGCGGACATCATGGCCACCCGAATGAGGCACAAGTCAGGCTGAACCCAGTGTCTCCTGTCGCGACACGTTCTGAAGGAACTCCGGGTCCAGCTCGTTCCTGCTCAGCTATCAAACTGATAGCCGGATAGCCCTGACCAACCCAATCCTGACCGTTCCTGCTAGTCCTGTCAGGCTCCTGTCAAGTGTTGCGGGTTCCTTGTCTCTCCCTCCTTCTTCCCCTATTGTAACACGCACGATACCCAGCACAGCTGTTAGACGTAGCCTTCCCGCGGCTGCTGCCTCCAACCTCGGAGGAGGCTTCCTCCGCCGCGGTCTCGGAGCCTTGGAGCACGGCCGGGAGAATCTGGAGGACGGCTTTGGAAAGGCCCATTTCTGGGACGCAAGTTCGGTTCTGCCCGTTCTTGCACGAAGCACTCAGGAAAGTAGATGTCAACGGCATTCATCCTTCACCTTGTCTGGGTTACGTGTCAACTTGGCCTGTTGTGCCGCTAGCCCGAAGACCCTGCAAACAGCATCTGGTTGTTTTGTTCGCTTGACCTGCCCGAGGCTGCCACAGCCGGCAAAGCTCATCCCGCACTTTGACAGCATCTGCCGTCAAATTACCTTCAGAAACGGGGCTCGGCTGTGTAGGTAAGCTTGGAAAGTGGTTACGGTTACATGCGCGATTGCCGTTGTCGACTAACCACCGATTGCAAGGCATCCAACACGTTTATCCAGTCGGGAGTGCTGCACTGTCCCCATCATTCCCTCCAGCGCCTTCCGAATCGCACCACTCGGGCATGGCGTGCTGCCATGGGATGCCACGAGACGAACTACGCACTTTCCTTCGTCAGTTCCCAGCGTTTCGTAAAGTTTGGGCCTGGGGTTCGGGGAAGAAGGAGGCAAGATTGCTGTGTTGAGGTCAAGTGGGTAAGGCTTACAGGGTTTAACAGCGCCATTGCCAAAAGGGCTAGAGGCGTATCAGCTTTGGTACACAGCCCGCGACTGCCAAGCGCCTTCGGCGCTGGCCGCGATGGACTCGAGCAGGGCGGCAGGACCGTGCGCTTCAGAGGCAACTCGAGTTCCGCTCCTATGTTTAAACATACATGCCAACACGAGCATGCCTAAGTGAAGACGTGGCAAACGGGTCAAGGCACAACTGAAACGACACAAGTTACGTGTCTACAAACATGTGTAACTATGTAGCGGAGCTCTCGATGGCTGGGTGTATGCATCTGTATATATGCGTGGCCAGATAGATACATGGAAAGCTGTGAATTTTTGAAGCCGTGTCACTCTTACAAGTGCTGCTGGGAATAATGTCGCTGGTCATGCTACAGCTGAAACGGTCTAAATAAAAGGCATATTGCAATCAGAATAACGATAAATATGATCACGATGACAGTGCGAAGTAGTCTTGTTCGTCTGTTAGGACGCACGGATCAAGATCTCTGATGTAGTATAACAACAGGTTTGAACTTGGCACCACAAGCAGTTTCAACTGCATAAGGCATTAGCTTCGCAACACGGCTCGTGAGCGCCACAGACTGTGAGTCTGTTCATAGCTGATACTGCTACAAGGTTGCATGTGGGCATGGCTCGGCATGCATGCTCTGGATGGAGTACGCCTAAAGGCAGCAGTGAGCGCGCCACGCGACTTGTGGCGTCATAGACGAAGATGAAGCCTCCGGCCAGGCTTCCGGGTTTTGCAAATACGATAACCTGTTTGCGCGACACCTTCTATGCCTGTGCCGGTCAAGCTACGCACAGAATCCAGCATCAGCATCCCCAGTCACTCTGGCCGCTGTAACCCTAGCCAAGATTTGCAAGGGACTCCTCTGAGCAAGCCCCATGTACACATCACTAAGTGCTTGACCGTCTGAGTTTCTGTAGTAGTTGCCGGTGACTACGGAGAAGCGCTCCTGTCCGAGGTCACGAACTGCCTGAACTTCCAGGGTTGCTCTCGTGCTGCAGGCATAGAACACTTCTGGGCCCTCGGAACCAATGCGAACAGTGCTGGCTCCTGCCCGGCTGTGTCCCAAAGCTGTAGCTTCACCAACCGCCCCTTCACCATGGTGACGACCTTGGCAACGCCGTGCGCTGTGGGCCGAGAGCGGTGGGAACTTTGACTTCGGGAATCTATAGTGTCTATAGCCTACCGGCAGCAACCACAGCGGCAGCCCGTTGAGTGTTACGATGCTGCGCTACAACATGAACATGCATCTCAGTGCTGCCCTGAGTTAGCGACGGTCTTGAAATCCACACCGATGGTAGACACATGACAGTCGGAGTAATAGTCCTGCGGAGATTCACTTCAGCTTCAGCTTTCAAGCGACGCACGCATCAAGCAAGTGCATGCAAAGAAACTGATGTAGGGGCCTAAACAATTACCAATGCTATTCTGGGGGTTCCTTATTATCATCATAGTATACTGGGCCCCAAAACCCTATTCTGATTATTAAGGCCCGTATATTACATGCATCAGCCGTAGCTGGAGCTCTCCAGTAGTCCGCAAAAAATGCCTGAATCCTTGAAAAGTTCCTTCCCCGAACGTCCTGTACAAACCGAGTCAAAAGGCAGGACTTTCCAACCTGGCAGAAGCAGAAGGAGAAGGAGCATCTAAATCTGAGGGCACTGGGATGTTACGAGATGGGGAGAATGCCTGCCCTATATCTCGAACTTTGTTTGCGTCAACAACAAGTATGGAGGCGAGTCTTGCATGAAGGGCCATGCATTTCTGTCTGCTGTCTGAGTGCCTGACATGTGGAATAAACTTGGGAACTGGTCTCATATGGTCTCATGCAGTGCTCCACGTCTTCTCGTCTAGACCCCTACAAACACTGTGCGAGTACGATCTGCGTGCGAAGCCCTGACCCTCTGACCCTCTAGACCTCACAGCGTGGCTAACAGCATCGTCTACACCTCTTGACGACGACGTGATCAAGTCTTACAAGCTGTTGTTGGAAGTCTAGAAGTGGGGGCTTCGAGACCGGCTTCTCGGCTCAGGTTTATCGTGGAGGGAAGAAGCTTCATGAGGGAAGGGAGTTGGATCAACGACATGAGCTTCTTGTGTCCACAACCAAGATCCAGTTCTGAGAACTCTCCGAGCCCAAAGAAAACGCTGCCCAGGCTCAGCTAATTTCCTTAGCCGAATCTTTAAGTGTACAGACTCTTTGGTGCTCCAAACTCTGAGACTCCAAGCAAGCTGGAGACAGTGTCTGCTACAGAACCCTCTCCCGTTATTTTCAGACTTTGACATGCGTAATATAGGGGGGGGGCCCATTATACTGTAATTATAATAAGGAGCCCCAAAATAATACATATATATATATATAGGTAATTTTTCAAGTCCCTATATCTATCTGTTTAGGAGCTTCCCAAAGATCCCCCCGTAATTCTCGGAGCAGAGATCTTGGCGCACCCCGGAGTCTCCCACGGTGACGAGCTTAAACTTAAAGTCGCCCTCGGAGACGCCACCTTTGACCTGACAGGACAAATCTGTCATTGGGGTTTAGGGTTTAGGGTTTAGGGTTTAGGGGGTTTCGAAGGCCCTTGGGGCTTGTGGTGAAAGCCTACTTAAAGGCTATGGGACTTAGTAACTAGGGTTGTAAGTAAGGTGACTATACTTATAACCCCAATTAGGGTACTTATAACTGTACTTATTAAGTCCCACGAACCTCCAAGTAGGGCTCCTGAGCATTGCGGGGTTCTAGGATTTGTGGGCGTCCCCAGCGCCCCTGCCAGTTCAACTATCAGATGGTCCTACGGTGTTCTTTTGTTCCCTCCTGGTCGCAGGGGCGAGTTCACGGTTTCGGAACTGGGCATGAGCGACCGGATGTTGTGGTAATAAAGGGGTCGGAATAATTTCCAATAGTATCCCCTGAGCGGCCCTAGTATGATTACATTCAACTCCTAACTACATGTACCTTGTCTCATTATGAAGGCCCCTACACTAAGCCTACCTAGACCCCCGAACTACCCTCATTATACCCCAGATACCCTCTATCAATGTACCATGTAACGGTTTTATCAACCCTAAACGGCCCTAAACCCTAAACCCTAAAACGTTTTATTGAAGGCTACTTGGGACACCTGACAACCTCGGCTCCGACCCTGTTGGCTCGTCCCTTCCAGCTGTGGGGAGCCCAAGGCTCCAAGACTTCACGCCTTCTCTGAACCGCAAAAAGAAGGGGGGGCTTTGATAATTAGGGTTTTGGGGTACATTATAATAATATTCTGATGAGGGATCCTACGGAATAGTATTAACAAGCAAGCGCCTCAATGACTAGAATAAGGTCGCGGGGGGTATGCAGGCGAAAGCCTGTCGACGACGAGAGAGACAAAGGACGACAAAGGCATCCTCAGAGAATGTGTACACAAACGTGCAAGGAGAGTATCTACAACTTGCTGCAAATGGATTTCAGAAGTCGCAGCATTAAGCCGTATCTTTTAAACCAGGTGATCCAACATCTGACAGGGAAGTTTCTCGGTTTAGGGCATCTGCGTGTAAGATTGCGAGGCTCAGTAGAGAGAAGAGTCGGGTCTCGGCCTATGGTATGCTTTACCAATATTCTGACGAGCAATCACCCTAAGGAATAATATCAATATTGGTAAATGTTAAGGCTGTTAAGGCTTCTGTATTATACTTAATACTACGGCTCCAGGAAGAGGCGGCAGAGGGTCTAGTATTTAGGCTTTCAGGTTTATTCTCCAAAGCACCACTGATCAAACTGCTGAGCACAAAAGCCATGAAATCTTTGCAGCTGTGCAAAGCCTCAGGTCGAGAGGCCCAACGGCCCTGCCAGCTAATTACCCAAACCCTCCTACTTCCTGCGCTAGCAGCAGCTTTGCATATAAAGCCATGAAGAGAAGTATCCTAAGCTCTAAACCTGAAGCCCCCGAGGGGCCTAGACCCCAACATGCCGAACCCTTTTTGTTTGCGCATCCTGCTATCTTTCGGGTGCTTCTTTGGCTGTCTCACAGAGCGCCAGGGCTCCAAAGCGCACCAGGTACACCCATGCGATGTGCCTTCTCATGGTGATCGTCGGGCTCATTGCAGCAATTTTAATGTTCGTGTTAGTCGGGCAGTTGTGTGTTCTTGCTATGGATGGCGCTGATTGTAGCATGAACAACTATGACTGTTTGAGTATCTATAGATGACAGCCTAGTTCTTATCACGAATTCTGTTGACCAACAGAACTCTGCAGTACGGTTGGAATACCTCAAGTACCCGATCCTGTGGGAAGCATCGTATGTGGTTGTGGTTGCGGTTGTTGTTGCTGTGGTTGTTGTGGTCGTCGTCGTTGCCGTCGCCGTCGTCCGTGATTCCTTTATGTTGTAACCTCGTGTCTGAGAGGGAGCCTTTCGTAAATGTTTTGTTGTTCACGTCGGTCGTCATGTTCATCTTTTCTGCCTACGACCCTACAACCAGGATGATTGTCAGTGCTGTCATAGACGACTTCACTGCTATGGTTCTCGTATTCGTAGGGCCCAAGGGTCATCTCTGGGATCAATGGTATGGGGCCTAGCATGGTTACGGTTTCGGTCCAGACTCACTTCCCGATATACGCAGAGACAAACAGGTAGACTCGGTAGACAGACCAGACACACGGAGAGATCGACAAATTCCGACAAACCCGAATTGTTTATCCTAGTTACTTTGTTACACGGGCCTTGGCTTAGGCGAGGGCTCGGTTTGAAGGGCGCCGGGCTTGCGGGCGGCTTCCCGAAAGACAGAGCTCGGACACTTAACTGGCAGAGCTTCGATTTAGGGTTTTGGAAGGGCGTTCCCACACACTAAACCGTAAACCCCTAAACGCATGGACCCTAAACCCTAAACTCCGAAACCTGAACCCCAAAATGAAGTCCTGTCAGGAGAGACGGCCAGAAAGGCGCTTAGAAGATCGAATGCCCTCAGCAGCTCTGAGCCCGAGCCCTTGTGCGAAAGTTTCCATAACAAAGGTTCCCCCCCGTACAGACCATGACTGAAAGGTAGGACTGAAGGCCTGGGTATAAGGACATCTCACCTGACCCCAAACCTCGACCCTATCGAAGAGACTCTCTCAGCTGTTCGAACCCTCCATGTCCAGGACATTTTCATGCGGGTAGTTACCATTATAGGAGCCTTATAGAAGGTCTATATACCATATGGAAGCCTTATAGAAGCCCTATATACCCTAAACTCCCCACCTGTAGTTTCCTTTAACCATGTGTGTTTCAAATTGCGGAGGCACTGCGGCAGCGGCGGCTTGAGCGTTCTGGGCGGCTTGCGCTGCCGCCTCCTCCGTGGGTGTTTGAGAGTTGGAGTTTCGGTGCTTCGTGCGCGCGACGCATACGTCCATGCAAGCCTGGGGAACCCAAAAAACCCTAAACCCTAATGGCCCTAATGCTGATGCTTCAATTTGGAACTTTGGGTCGGGTTTATTTTATGCACTGAGACTTTGTACTTTATACTGTTATTCTATATCATATGGTATGATATGCTAAGACGTGACCAGGTATCATGTCATATCATATTACATCATATTACATTGCATTATGTTATCTTCTGTTATAGAATTATGTTCGATTCTACTCTATGCTATGATATGATCATGTATATTATGCTATGTTACATGTTATATTGTAACTTTTATTGAAATATTATATTCGAGGGAAAGTCATCCCACAGCCTCGCACGCAGTGACACTGCAGCCGGAGTCCACGATGCAGGTCGTTCCATCAAGACGACGACAGGGAACCCCTCAAAAACACAAACCTTTACAGTAGCTCTCCCAGTGCTCCTTACAGCACCCTGAAAGCCCTCATAGGCATCCTCGTAATGCACCTCTTAAGATCGTGTCAGGAGCCCTTATAGGAAGCCCTCACGTTCTGCCATCTCAAGAACCCCTCCAAATGGCCCCTGCCTCGCCCAATTGTGCCTTCAGCTGCAAAGGCTCCTGCGCTTCAGGGCTTAGCAGGGTTTAGGGCTGTTTGTAGGGTTGCATACAGGGTTAATGTTGCTTAGGAAGGGCTTGGAGCAGGGTTTCGGTGAATCGGGTGTCTCGCGCAAAGGTCGGGAAACGGTGAGGTCTGTAGAACATGCTGTGCATATGTTTCCGGAAGAGCTGAAACAGGGTCTCACGACAAAACTGTGACTCAAGAGTGTACGTAAGTCTACGAAGCATTAGTCTTTGGTATACAGGTGCAGTGTGGTGGCAGGATGTACTTGTCATAAGACTGACAGGGTACCCGGCGATTTTTGGGCGAAGCACAGGTCAAGTCGCAGATCTCTTTGCTCTTAGAGGTTGCCGTTTAGATTTCACGTGTTCTGGACTCTAGCTAGACCCGCTGCTGTCCTGGTATCGGAAGAGGTCGGTCGCCAACCGCCCCTTGTAGACCTCACCGAGGGACCAAACCAAGTACCTGCCAGTGCATTTACATGCAGCAGTGACTCTGCGACAACATCTTAACTTAAAGTTCGACATAGGTCGCAGCCGATGGGGCACATGGCCACGCTCATGGAAAGCGAGAAGATCGCTAGGAAGACCATGCTGGTAATGTTTGGTAGGCCACCTCGCTCCGTGCAAGTGGAGGTGCACACACACGCACTGGCAAGGAAACCCCTAACATCATTTCTACTGCCAGGATCGCCCAACAAAGAGAAACTTTGGCATGTTCGAAATCCATCGCCAGGCAACACACCATGGTGGCCAGACCCTCACCACGAGCTTCCCGCGTGAAGCAGCTGCGCTGGCTGACGGCAAGGGAGAGCAAGAAGCCCCCGACTGACAAGAGGGTCAGGAACTGATACCTTAGGACTTGGAGGGCATGCTTCGGAGTCGTTCAACTAATTTCATGGATCGCACTGGCTAGGAGACAAGCGAGCGTTTTGATTGATGTCGGGAAGTTTGCCCCACATTTGCAGCTGGGCAGAAATTAGCAATGTAGTTGTTGCAGTTTTTCTGCGGCAAAGTCAACCGGGCAAAAAATCGAGGGAGATCGGAGTTTGTCACAGTGTCGCTGCATCACCTGAATCGCTCGTTAGCCTTCTTCACTCAAAACTCTGGCTTCCACGGCAAAGCGCTCAACTTCCGCTCAAGACAACAGAATGCACCACAAGATATCAGAAAAGTGTAAAGTCAACGACCGGAAAGAGAATGCCTGAATATTAATCTGCTCAAGGCACCAGATGTAGGAGTAGAGGTGGCCTTGCAGAGATTCGCAGAGGAGCAGCATTTGAGGCACGCGTAAAACAGGCATTGGGGCCCGCCTCCCTCCTGCATCCTACTCAACCGATATTCATGAATGTTGTCATTCATGAATGCATCGAACATTGCTGGCGATGACACATCGTTGCGGTTGCTCAGTATGCCTCGCGTTGTGTGCGTCCGTTTCTAGAACTCTGACAGGATACATCCGGCATGGCAGAGGAAGGGGGCAGCCCCCAGGCTCACTTGCCGTTGAACACATAAACCCTCCCAGATTTTGATGTAGGCCAAAGTCGACTGCTCAGAACATCTGTTACCCGTAGCGAAGCTCCCTCAACTCCCTCCAAACCCTCAACGCCTGGCGCTCTGAACACAGTTCCAACGCCCGCGTGGATGGTAACAGGAAGGCCGATCAAGCAAAATGCCCCGAAGGCACACCTGAGAAAGCAGGGATCGCTTCCAGGCAGCTCGCAAGAACATCGTGCAGGACTCTACTTGAAGTGACCATAAACCGGAAGCACAAGGGGGCCACATGCCACTGCAAGGTCCTCTTGTGCAAAGCTGGGACCGTGGCTTTCAGGCTCCGAGCTTACAGCACTGGGGATACATGGATGCTTGAAGAGAGAGCATCCTGCAATTCGGGAAACGATGACGCCCTGTGGCATCGATGTGTCCGAATTCCTGACTCGAAACGTTCGAGGCCTAGAGCGGGTGTCCTGGGATCCTTGATTTACTGCTGTGACACCGCGCATCCCAGGAACTTCAGACCAATACAAGCAGGGCGCTGAAGCGTGTTCGACACCTCGACATGTCCAATCAGCATGCTCTTGTCGGACTGCACCGTGGCAAGCACCTGCAGTTACTCGCATCGTAAAGGCGACGAGCACGGTGCATATTTCGCTTCTTCAGTGTCTCTCGTCGGTTCTCTTCAAAGTAACGACGAAGCTCACGTTAGAGTACATTGCTCCAGATCGAGAGACAGGGCCTCGAAGCTTCAACAAGGAAATCCCCCGTGTCATCCGAGTTGCATAGACACAGAAGCCGAAATGCGCAAGGACGAGAAAGCCGACCAATGCCTGAAGAGGGCATTCCGAAACTTCCGGGTAAGGAGGCAGTGTTTTCGTGGTGCCATAGCGTGGCTAAGTCGCTTCTGAGTTCATCTGTGCTCAGATAGGTCCTTCCACCCCGAATGTTCTCGGATGCCTAGCTTTAAGACGAACTTGTCACTTGTCCCGATACACTTCTACATTCCTCGACCTGCCATTCCAAACAAAGAGGTCGGGACGACATTTCTCGGAGAGTGGCTTGCACATGGCTTGTGGTTTGGATCCTGAGCCGAAGACCCCGATAACCCAAAACGCTGTGTTTGGTTTTGCCTGCATTGTTCCACAGTCGAAGCGGCTCACACAAGCGAACCAAGTTACAGATCCTCACTTTGCTCTCAAGAAAACTCCAAAGCCAGAGTCCGCTCCAAGCCCAAGAAATGAGCTCAGTGGCTGGGAGCGGGAGCGGTCCCAGCACAGCCGGCGCCGGCTGAATCAGAGACATCCGGGAAGGGTTAGCTACCGGTTCACAAAGGTCGGGGAATGGGGGATACCCCGGTGGCTTGAGCCTGAAACAATGAAAGAAGGAATGCTTCCCATGAGTGCGAGCCATGACTGTCACAGCAAGGATTATCAGGACGTCTGAGGACTTCAGCATTGGCCGTCATCAAGACTGAACTACGGGCAAAGGCCTCGAGCACGTTCAAGAAGAAAAGCTTCTTTGAGATGTGCGGCCTTGCTGACACAACTGACATAGTGCTTGAAAAAGGTCAAACGGAAGCTACAGCTTGGGCCCTCGCAATGAATCGCAGGCTAGGGTCATTCATGAAATGTTGTATACAGGGTGTGTCATACGTTTAAACGGTTCAGGTTTAGGGCTTAGGAATTAGAGCTTAGGTGCAGTCTCTCAAATCTACTGACCCCCGGTCCGAGCCCACTGCCGCGCTACGCTTGCTTTCATGACTTGCTCCGAAAGGCTTTGGACAGGGTGCTTGGTTGAACTGATCGATGCACAAACACTACAAAAGCACGCACACACACACACACAACACAAACACACAACAAACACACACACACACACACACACTCACACTCACACACACACACACACTCACTCACACTCACACACACACACACACACACTCTCTCTCCTCTCTCGCTCGCCCTCTCTCCCTGAAGTGTCTCTGGCCACCAATCATGGTGCACTCATGGACGAAAGGAGCACGCGAGCTTTGGGGCGATGTGCGGCCGTCTCGAGGGAACTACTGTTCTGTAGGTTATGGGTGTATGAGCATGAAACATAGCTGAGCAGCATGATGCGGACACGGAACAGAAGTCACGGTCATCATAACGACTACTACTCGTGCTTTTTATGTTGTGGTGGGAGGAGAAGCGCCAAGTTCTCGATTCGTCTTCAAGCCTCTTCTTTTGAGAACTATCCTTATCCCATGTGCATCTATGTACGCAAGAATACGCTAAGACGCATTTAAAGATCCACCCGACTTCTTGACTTCGGAATGAAGCCGGTCGTGCTGGGCACCGTGCTCGACATCCGGCGGGCCGTTCTTGGAGGTTTGCGTGATCTGCAAACAAGCTTGCTCGTCAATCTAACGTGCTGGAGGTCGGGGGATGGGGGTTTTCTACTTTAAGTGCAATATTGGATAGCGGCTTGATTGCTTCTATTCCCAAAGATCTGCTCCCCGCCTTGTCTCGCACACCGCCAAACACGATCAGTTTGTCATGGAGGACGGAGGAGGCATGTGCTCTGGCATTCACCTGGCTGTATCGTGCTGGGCACCATGGGATTCCTGAAAGCGCCTGTTTCACCCGATTCTCAATGCTTTGAAAGGCTGTGCTGGACTTCCGAGGTTTTGGAATGAGGAATGGCTCATCGCGCAAGTATCCCGCTTGTATCATCGCATACAGGACTCCAGAGCCTGTGCTCGGTCTTTTCCCTAAACTGAGCCGTGCTGTGCATAGTGACCGTCACTTGCGGCCAGTGCTGTATACAACTAATGCCAACCACCTCAAACACCTGCTCCTACTGCCAACACCACCACTACCACGTCCAAATGGGGTTTCGGGACTCGACTGCAGAAAGCCAGCATACCTTCCCGCTTCCCAGACATGCATTTGGAGAGGCAAACACTCCCCATGGACGCCGACTGGCCCGCCTGGCCCTCGTACAGTGGCCGTGCCCATCTCATGTTCGGCGCGTCGAGGATGTAAAGGTCGCTGATGCTGCAGCACAGTGACCGATGACGAAGACTAGCTGTTGAGTAATCCAGCATTGTGCTGGCACTCTACTGCAGGCTAAGATGAGCGGATTTGCAGGTGTATGCATGTCAGGGTCCGTCATGAACTAATTGCAGATCAGGTCCACAATGACAAACAACACCAGGCCTGGTCTGGCTAGAGCCCGCAAAGCAGAAGACCCACTTGCCTCAGTACTCACGCAGGAAAACGGAAAATGATTGTCTTGGACCTGCTGACAGCACCCCAGCCCCCACCTAATATCCTCTCCCAGAAACCTGCCAAGTACCCTCTCTGACAGCATCCAAAAGACTGCCAAAGAACATGCACAAGACTCAACCCCCATCCTGCGTTGCCCGACCGATAAGATCGAAGGAATGGAACGCGCGTTCCAGTGGTGGAGTGCCAGCAACCTGCGTGCACCCTACAGGTCTCAAGCTCTCGAATTGCTTTAGCGGACCTTGCCAGCATTTTGCTCCCAGGGTGGATCGGGGCTGAAAGGCTCCAAGTGCCAAGCTTGAGAACCACTTGTTACCCTGTTACACTTGGGTGAGTTCCCAGGCGCGTAGAATGCCTTGTTGTCTCATCAGCAAGTACATGTCTTCTTATCAAGACGTACATGTGCGCACGGATTTATGTATGCAAGCATACATGTTGATGTCTGTGTGTAAGACAGAGACAGTCCTGACGCCTTCTTCTTTCGATGGCTTGAAGGGCATCGTTCCGACTGTGTCATCTAGGCCATGGCGAAAACTAGCACTATTCGACAGGACACTGATGCAAGCAATATGCTTCAGCTCAGAAGTACCATGGAAGAGCTCATGGCGCCCATCTTGTTTTCTGCAGGTGTAGAGATGGGCTGCGCGAAGCTGTATATGCTGCCATCTCTCCCCGAGCTACTGCTCTGTAGCAAAGCGATGGCCGTTCAAGGCCGAGAACACAGACTTTCTGTGAATCGCCCCAGCAAGTAGCTTCCGGACTTTCCACAAGGCAAACACAGGACTTCAGATCATCTAGGCAGAAGCCAGAAAACTTGAGAAGGGTCATTGGATGACTCTTGGTCTTGATGGCCTTGCAACGGGACCTTACAAAGTCCATGACAACACACCAACCTGCATCTCACTGCTTCCATGCCAAATACGCCAGGCCATGTGAAAGCGTGTCTGCAATGATTACACCCTGGGATCCTTCGGATCTTTTGTGAGCGCACATCATCGCAGCTCTCACTGACTCCTGGCACGGCGACCTTGCAAGGAGATCTATTCAAACCTCCGCAAGCAACTGCTGAAAGGCTCTCCCCAAACCACCTCACGGTGTCGAGTCGATCCAGGAGTAAGTAGTGGTAGTAGTGTTGAGAGTTCAAGGTCCCCGAAGCCCCGTCCAGTGTGGGTCATCCCGTGCACAGCCTGCATGCTATTGTCGAGGAAGGGGGAGACTAAACATCTTGATTCGCGTGCCAAGGCTGCAACTCTTCCCGACTCATGCACGTTCCCCAAAAGCCTTTGCTCGCACACGAGCCCCAAGCACCCTGCAGTGCAACTGCTACGAACCGACACCCCTAGAAACACCCAGATCCCAAACATCCTTGAAAGGCGGTGCTTCTTAAGCTATCCAAGGCACATGTATGCAAACTACAGCAGACTTGAGTCCGCTGAGCCCCACGAAGCTGAAGCGCAAGGTCGAATCCCCCAGATCTTGAAAGTCTCAGAAGTCGGCAAGGCGTCCTCCAACGAGGCGACGACTAGGGCCTGGCTTTGTGGAGCCGAAAGTGGAACAACCCTTGTCCCAAACCCGCTTGAAAGGTTCAAGGGTTCCAGTCTCAGGCCATGCAAGCAGAGCTTATGGCCCAAGCCAAAGCACCCAACCTTCCAATAACTGTCTAGGTATCGGCTCCGGGCGAGCAGCAGTACGCAAACCTTGCACCCTACTATCCTCATTAAGTGATGATAGCTGCTGCAAGGCAAGGCCAGCTTAAGGACAGCTGTGTAGCTCACAAGCGCCCAACCCTCCATAGGATGCCAGCACAAAGGCATGGCAGTGAAAGTTCCTGGTGATAGCCACTACTAGGCAGGCCTGGTGTGCGAATCCATCCCCAGGTTCGCAAGAGCCACTAAGTAATCTTCTTCGTGATGTTGCATTGCTTGATTTATCGGCTTATCTGCAACCCCAAAGCTCGATCTCGCGGAGACAGCTTGCAAGTACTCAGCGGGGTGACGCGGACAAGGCGCAACATATATCGGTGACGAAGGCAGCGGTGCCCAGCTGAGGCTGGGACTCGGACTCGACTTCGGGACCTGCTCAGACGGGATTCTCCGGGCGTTCGACCAGCAGCAAGTACTCATCTCTAACTCCGTCCCAAGGCATCGGCCCAGCGATGATAGAAACACCATGCACATTGTTCAGGCTAAGATAACAAGCACATGGCTTACTTGGAAAGAGTCGGGAATGACTGTACTTGACAGCGAACGTACATCTGTCTCTGCGGTCCTGCCCAGCGTGATGCACTGTTGGAAAGCTTGGATCGCACACGCCCCATCTAGATATGATGGAGATTTTCAGAGTGGAGCCAGTTCAAACTTAAAACTATCTTTAGACCCGGACTCGGTCACATGATACTCTCCAAGCTGCATAGAATAGGGGCCTCAATTGCTAGAATAGGGTTTGGGGCCCCTTTATGGTATAACTACATAATGAGGGACCTTGCGGAATGATAATATGGGTAATTCTTTAGAAATTTAGGCTTCTATATGGGTAGTTGTCAAAATTAGGTACCGTATTATAATAAGGACCCAAAAAGGGACCCTAATTTTGACAACCACCCATATGAAATCCAAGGTCCAAGGCTAGCGGTGCCTCCTGCAGCTCCTTCTGTCTCTGCGAGCTCGGCAGGCTCTGCAGGGGCCGGCACAGCAGAGATGCCCTGCTGCGGATGTGCAGTGGGAATGATTTAGAGAGTTTAGAGCTTTTGGGACTGGGCTGTGGTAGATTTCTGGGATGAGAATCGCAATCGTTGCCATCATCATCGCCGTTATAACACGATCATGAGTGCCCGCAATTGCAGGTGCGTGCTGCGACTTGATCAGCTGGCCGGGGTCTATCCCATCTTATCCCCAAGCTGTGTACCTTAGATCCTATATCCCCATAAATCCTATAAATCCAAGACATTCAAAAACCAAAGAACTATTCTTCAAGATCGCCTGCTGCACATTTTTAAGCCGAGCATCCGGCGCCGGCTTTGGATGCAGCTTACTGTAGCACAAGAACCACCCAACACAAAGATGACTTGGTAAGACGTAACAAATGCTTCGTCAATGCCAGTGATGTCCCGTCACTTAGCCACTGAACCCTTTCGCCCGGAAAGCGGGCCTTGATCAGAAGGGTGGCGCTAGGTGTGAGCCTGGGTAAGCCCAGGCACTTTGACTTCGCGAAGTGAGGGACCGAAAGGATACTGAAGATGCCCATGACAGGCCGAGCGATCACTCCAGAGAAGAGGCGAAGGCATTGAAAGGCCACGGATGAACAGTACAGTGTCGTCAGGATACAACCCACATGCCCCATGTTTCGGGCGAGCGGCCGGGCGAGTGGCGTCACTTTCGACAACTGACATGGCAGAATCGGCGGCTTCGTGAGTAATTTTTGAGCTTTTGATATGGAGGGAGACCATGGCTCGCAAACCCGTGGTGCCTTCTTCCTGACTTGCGGACGCGGGGTCTGCGAAGGAAGCTCGAAGCTTAAACCTTAAACCCTAAACCCCTAAACCCTAAACCATCTTTGTCCCCTGGGAGATCTAAAGATCGCAGCCCAAACAATCGAGGCTCAGGCCCAAGCCTCCTTGTTAGAAGTATTAGAGTAGTCCTTATTATAATTATAGTGTAGTATAATACGCCAAACCCTATATTCTAATTGCCTCTAAGGCCGACACAGCCTCAGCCGTGTCCTGCGGCCCACTCTTGGAGGCTCATGGGACTTAATAAGTACAGCTATAAGTCTAATTATAAGTATAGTTACCGTATTTATAACCCTAGTTACTAAGTTCCATGAACCTTTAAGCTGTCTCCAGGGCTCCGGCCCCAGCTCTGCCAGCGACGACCGCAGTTGGTCATCCGAGGTGAAGGCAGTGCGAGGAGGATAAGCTAACCTTTGGGTGGGATGCTCATGATTCGTTCTGAGCTTTTCTTTCGCATGTAAGCATCTAAACGGGTTCGACAGAAAATCTAGCTCCCAGCTGCCGAAAACCCGCCATACCCGGCGTGGCCCCAAAACTTGTAAAGTCAAGGCGCGACAGCTCTGGCCCAGAAGCACCCTCCCCCGGAAGGAGCTGCAGCTCCTGCACAAAATATGACGGAATTTGTCGATGGCCGATACAGTGCAGACGCAACTCTAGCAATTCTGCTTTGCAACCAAAAACTCGCTGCTACCAAATGAAGAACAGCGGGTCTTGACTTGCGCCGTGAGCGTTTGAGCAAGTCCGGGTTGAGAAAACCGCTCCCCCTTCTCGAAAACACATCGACAGTCCTTCGTAGCGAAAGCGCGCACGGAGATGAGCAAGTCATCGGGATCGAAGCTGCTGGATGTCACCTGGGAAAGCTCCCAAGCTCAGCAGTGAACTTTGGCTGTTTGTTATAGGCCAAGTCCGCAGTCAGATCAGCTGGTCGGGGTATCAACATCAACAATAGCATGAATCATGTTGACAGAAAACTATATGGATCGATCGGCAGCTTGCAACAGCGGTGTCCGGGCGATTTCTGTGATTTGTGTGTGAAAACTGGTTGTCAAGTGAAGCTACATGCAGCTATATCACTGACAGATCGATGTGCAGAGATTATAATAACCGCTGCAATGTAGTCAGTGGACTTCAACTCAGAGCTATGGCTGGTACGGTGAGCTTGAAACACAACGCGCACACACTCACAGAGACTCTCTGTCCGAGTTCGTGTACCTGCTGTTTAGTCGGTTTAGGGTTCAGGGTTTGGGGTTTAGGGTTTAATCAGGGGTTAGTATTCGTGCACCAACACGTACCAAGAAGCATGCAAAGCACCATAACACAGTGCACGTACACAAAGTGACGAGACACGACGAGACACCTTCGGATGGTGTCATCAGCCGAAAAAGCTGCTACCCTCAATTTTGCCCCCGATGTCTTCAATCGCAATCCACACAGAATTCAACTCATCTCGTCTTGGAGGCCTGCACCACAAGCCCTCAATAAAGCAAGACCAGCTGAAGTGTGGCTCTTTGTGCCCCCGACCATGCGGCCCGAAGTTGCGCAGCGGATCTGAAGACGCACCTGACAGTGGACACCAGAGCTTCAGGTGCAGCTTGTGCTCAGTTCTTGTAGTACCCCTTATAGTACCTGAGGTGACCTGGGGGCGGAGGGTGAAAGCTTGGAGGTTTGGTTTGGAGGTACATGTCGGCTACGGATACAGGGAGCTAACTAAATCCAGCTCTGAGAATGCAGTTCCGTGCATCGTGGGTTCAGCGACGTATCAAACAGCTCGCCATTGTCCAAGCTAGCTTCAATGGTTAAGAAAGTCATGTCTCTGGGTTTTCTGAAACTCGGGAATTTCGATTGCCTCTTACAGTTGAGAATGCAAGTGGACACTGGATTTCGCAGTGGACTTTTCTGAACTTGTGGCGGTTGGGGTCAGGAGTTCGTCCCGAACCACCACGTAGGCCTTTCGAGATTGTCTCTGGGTGTGCTGCAGAAACGAAGAAGCGACTGAGCAAGTCAGTTTCCCGAAAGCAAGAACCGTCCGAGTAGGTGCCGGTCAATAACAATTCGTACGTGCGAACGGTTCCTGGAAGTGCTAGCTACTGTTCCATCTTTAGGTCTTTAGCTTAAGAAGGCGGCAAGAGAAACAGTTGGCACTGGAGCCAGCGGCGGTCCGCTGCGACATCAGCCTACACTGCCTGCACCTTTCTTAGCTTTAAACAGTGCTCGCATTGCACACGTCCCATGTCCTAAGGAAGACGTTTACACTGTACACTCGTCTATGGAAGCTCTCCCGAAGCCTTAGGGTTTGATTCGTGGCATGCGATGACTGGGGGCAAAGCAGTAGATTAAGGCTCGGGTACTTGAACCCAAGCCTGACCCCAAGTAGTAAGCCAATCCAGCAAACACAAGAGCGCCTATGAGCAGCCATTCTTCAAGTGATATCTTCGACAGCTAGGGCATCCCTCTGAGGCTGCGCACTGAGCTAGGGGTGGAGGACGACGAAGGAGCAGCCTCGCGCAAGATAGCGCATGTTAACTTACGAGTACAGTGGCGGTAATGCATAAAAAGAATGCCAGCAGCAACGCAACGTCTGTTTTTGCAACTGAACCAACAACGACGGTAAAAGTTGCGAGGCCAGCAGCACAGTGTAAACACCAACAACGAGGGTGACAACTCAAAAACTTGCACACAGAACTCATGAGCATCTGCACGTAAGGGAAGGGGATGTCGTTCCAAGCCACCTCTGAAGAACAAGCCAACGTACGCAAGCAAAGAAGAAAAGTAATCGCGGCTGTAACAATACCATGGCCAACAGCGTCATTCTCCACCATGTTGCCGTTCTTGGTAAACAAAAGAAACCCTGCTGAGGAGTACTGGGTGCTTCCGAGATGCGACTACCAGTTTGGTTGCTGGAATATCATGCCAATCAAGCCGTGGGGCGTGCTTTGAATCACAAAGGCATTCGTCTGCAGTCTTCATAGCCGTCATACTTTCGAGTGCAGAATACATCTCGGCATCATCCCTATGTGAGCAGCAATCAACTTCGTCCATGGCTGTCACTCGGAATGCATATGCTGCTTGACAGAAGAGGGTAGCCTAGTTCCACTTGGCCCATTAGCACACGGAGCCCGCAGCCTTCGTTTCGCCTTGTGCTGCCACTGCACTAGGCGCCACGTGTCGCTCCTTTGTGCGGACAACGGGCATGATGTCTCAGCCCAATTTCAAGGAGGACAAAGTCGTTTTGGCGTTGGGTTGAAGCTAGGTCCAACTCAAGTGAGCACGTGGACTCGCGTGTGCGGAGAGCTGACAGACTCGACTCTAGATGCTCCCCGCCCAGGACCATGCTCATACTACACTATACCTAGCCCGATCATCCCGAAGCCCCACTCTAACGCAACTCTGCAAGTGTGTCCTGGTATCGTTGGCGATCTTCCTGGCAAGTGGCACTTCTGCCCATGTATCTGGCTACATGCGGGCATTCAACAAATGCCTCTTGGCGCTGTAGCAGCTTTCATCCAAGCACCATATTCCCGTGTTTGCATGGCTCGCTGTCCGAAGCTGCTAGTCTGACAGAAACGGTTTGACAGATGCGATGCACGCAGAAGTCTCTTCAAGATTCGCCCTGTAAGCTCTTAGTGCAACACTGAGACCTTCTATGACTGTGCTTACGATATTCACAGACGAATATGACTATCAGTGCCATGGCTCAGGGCTTAGGACTCTTGCCCCTCTTGCTCCTTCAACAGGTTGCTACGGTCACAACACGTCTGCGCGGCCTCCATCTGCTGGAGAATGGCCTCGCGCTCCTGGCAACAATGGCATACGCTCGCAGTTCACACTGTGAGGCCTTGGCTTCGCAGTTTCAGGATTGATGCTCCAAGCCTTTATGGGTGCAGAGATCAAAACGGCAAATCCCTCCGATGTGTACTTGTCAAGAGCATTAGAATCTAACAACCTACAGAAACAGTGACTCGTGACACTTAAGCCTCTAAACTCTAAACCCTCACAAAACGGAAAGCCAACAAAAACCGAGGCCTAAACCCTCTGAACCTTCTGACGACCTTGTCGTTGCTGTGCTTCCTGCTCTCAGAAAACCCTTTTCCGTCAATAGCCTCATCAGAAATGACAAACCCTAAAACCTTGAAGCCCCAAAGCCCTAAATCCCTAAACCCTAAACCCTAAACCGCTAAATCCCTAAACTTTAGGTTGTAGAAGCCTCTGAAGGGCTAAGCTAGGTTGACACAAACTCCTAGACAAGACCCTCTGAAGCTCAATAGGGCAAAACCATCACATCGGTGGTTGTCAAAATTAGTGGTCCCTTTCTGGGGTCCTTACTATATTACGGCACCTATTATTTAGGGTACCCCAAAAGGGACCATAATTTTGACAAATACCCACACGTCCAAAGAACCTACCCGGTGAAACAATGATACTGCCTCGCTTCTGGAAGCTGCTTGCTCGCTCATTTTTGAGACGGTTTAGTGTTTGGGGAATCTCTGACTGTGGTCCGCTCTAATAGGGTTTAGGGTTTAGGGTTCAGGGCTTGGTGCTTGGAATAAGGGTTCTGGAAGGGTCTTATCAGGGTGGAATAGAGGGTAACAAACGGGCCTTAACTGCCTCAAGCCTCAATAGGTAAAATTGGATTTTGTTGTGTAGTAGCAATATAATATATAGGGACTAAGCAGGGATAAGAGGCAACTCTTCAGACTTCAACCCATCAGTAATTTTGAGCCTGCAGCCTACCACCTGCACCTGAGACCTAAGCCGTGACTGTCGGGACAAAGTGCATATGAGTGGCTGTCCCTAATGCCCTGACCCCATAAACCTGGAGGCAGTTTTTCGGGTGTAAATTTCCTTGTTGCTGGCTACCTTGCTTCTCTACACACGGGGCCCTCCACAAGCACTCACTCGAAGCCGAAGCCGTGCACTCCAAACGTCGAAACAAGGCATGCTTCTCAAATTCAAGCTTTTCCTTGCTTTGGGTGCTTTGGAGCTTTGGGAACTGAGCAACTAAATCGAATCCCAGGGTCTACCTGGACCCTAAAGAACCTACCTTTTTAGGGTTCCTTATTATGATTTCTTTATATAGGTCCTTAAAAAGGTAGGTTATTCGGGGTTAAGGTAGGTGCACAAGAAGTCATGCACCTAAGCAAATCGTGAACACCTTAAACTATTGATCCCTTCATTGCAAGTTCCCGAAATGAAACATCCTGCCATCCCGAAGTCCCGGCCTCTGACTCGTCAGCCCAGCCGTGCCGGCACCCTGCTTAAAGGATCATGGGACTTAGTAAGTAGGGTTATAATTAGGGTAACTATACTTATAACCCCAGTTAAGGGACTTCTAACCTGACTTACTACGTCCCGTGATCCTCCAAGTACAGTTCTCCAGCGAAGCTTCTTTTTTGTTGGCTTGGGAGGGGGGGGCTAAGCACTGTGGGATTTAGGCGTTTGGAGGTTCATGGCAGTGATTTGGGGCTAAGGGACTTAGAGTAGATACCACTCGGGTGGGAAAGCAGGGAAGCAGACGGATGCTGCTTTAGGGTTTAGGGCTTTAGGGTCTACCTTAAGAACCCAAAACCTCCTTTTTTTGTAGGGTCCCTACAAATCCCATATTAGGGTTTATAATACGAACCCACAAAAAAGTGGGTTTTGGGTTCTTAAGGTAGGGTTTAGGCTATAGGGCTCGGGGATAAGTTGATTGGAGTGTTCAGAATTCGGCTAGGCATTTTACGTTCTGACCCTGCAACATTGCGGATGAATAATTCAAAAGTCAACGAGACTTTTGGTGAAGATCCTTATTTCAATTATCCAACATCCTAAACCCGTAATCTTAGACTCGATAAGCCCGAACTCCTGAGCCTCT